GAAACTATAACATCCTGGGATCTCGCATTTGAATTGTAACCTGTACGGTTAGAGGCAACTCTCATTTGAATTAAAAACTTCTAAGTATGTATGTCTGGGAAACGATAACATCCTGGGTTCTCTAATTTGCACAGTGTCTTCCTGTATGTCTGGAGGCAACTATAGGCTAATATTTACTTAAAAATTTCAAGTTTCTGAAGTGCCACGCCTTTATTTGTAAGTTTTTTTTAAACATTTTTGAATATGGCGGATACCGGACCATGTATAAGCTATTGACCTTTGTAGTCCCATTGCTTCCTGTCAGCAATCTTCTATAATCTCTGAAGCATGCATCGACAATAATCCACAATCAGACTGCTGGGATGATCTCATTTGATTAGGCAACTGCACCTAGAGACGTATTTGGTGGACCGAAATACTCTATTATTTAGGGTTGTCTAGTCAAGAATTTCAAGAAATGGCCGAGGACGTCATTAGGTCTCAGTTTATAGTCCAGACAGACTAGATTTACTGATTGCATCTCCTTTTCCGCCGGACTTGCAATAACGCCAATGTGAGAGCAGTTCCTGAAGATAACATCCCCGGGGGATTTTCGGTCTCAATAAAATTATGTTTCAGTTTAGTTGAGATATTCTCAATAAATTTTAATTTGTAGAGGACCCGAATAGCAATACAGCGGCATAGTTTTTAGTCAAATAGAATCTAGATTGTCTTTGGCAAGTCTTGACTTGTGGATGAAAACATATTTTATATTGATTTTAATAATTTCCTATATCAAACATTTCTGAAAATTACCAAATTTTTTAATTTCTATCATCAAACATAAAAGCAGATGGACCTAGTTAGATCGACTTAGAACTTCAAAAAATATTGACAGTTTTTATTTCAATTAACTTTTTGACTTTGTTGCTATTTTTTAAATTACCCGTATTATTGACACTCATACATACATATGTATATACACTACATTGCAAAGTCTAACTTTATAAAAAAGTGATGACCTTAATCATACCACTGTTATTAAAATCTACAACATTTGTATATAATATTTTTATCCTGTAAATATTATATACATTTTACATAAATATATTGGACTTTGTTGGTCCTTTGTTCCTAAATGTTTGTATTGGGTTTTTAGGTCATTTAATCAATGGTGTGGAAAAATGTGTTTAATTTAATTTTCAATATTTTTTGCTGTTACTTTTATTTTTTGAATGTTTCTATGGCCCTACATATAAAGTGTATAGTAGACTCAACTTGTTGTATCCTTATTTATAATATCCTGATTTGAAATGTTATTCTTGTTGTAAATATTTACCTTTGAACATTGTCTATATCCTGTTGTTGTTGTTTCAAATATTGTCTAAAGTTTTGTATGAGTGTGGCTTCCATGTTGCCCAGTACTTTTAAACTATCCACAGATGAATAGAACTCAGCATTTGCCATTAGACAGCAGCGGCAGGAGAAGAAAGAAAACAATATGAACCACAGGCAACAAAAATACGATAATGGTATTAATAATCTTGGTCTTGTTTTTCTTGTTGCTTCAGTTGCCTTAGTTGTTGTATTTAGCTTCATATTAAAAGTTTTTGTTGTTGTTTATATATATATATATGTTCTAACGATAATTAGAATTGGTTTAAAAAGTTTTTCCTTTTCAATGGACAACTGACTAGTCCACAAGCAATGTGTACTACGAAGAGTAGATTTATTCGAAGTAGTATGGAATTTGTGGTTTAAATAAATGTCAGCCAGCAGGAGGCTACTTTTACTTACTGCTTAACGTTAGAAAGTAAATGTTCGAATGGACTGATTACTTAATTTCGACCACAATGGAGTGGATTGTACTTCTCGTATGATGTTATTTTGGTAACTAAAATTTAATCTATTGAATTTTCATTATACGACCCATTTTGTCTTTTTTATTCTTGTAGGTGTATGTTTTTGAGGGAATGTGTTTAGAATCTGTTAGTTGTGTGTTGTGATGAACAAATATTAAAGGAAATGACAAATGTGGTTCGTATTTTTCATCTTGTCTTTTTGAATTTTTTATATGTACTATAAATGTATGGATACCAGTATTTATGTACAATTAAACAGGCTGTGTAAATATTTTATTAAGAGTCTATTCATTGAGTGTTTCAATTAAGACTTTATTTAATCGTTAGTTTTTTCCCATTTCTTTCGAGTGTGAGAGCAAATGGTAAATATAGTAAGACGAAATTGGTTTTATCTGAAGATTAGTTTTTATTGTTTAATATTTGTTAAATTGGAAAGTGGCAATGAAATTTTTGTTAAATGAGACTATGGAAAATATGAAAAAACTAATATCATAGTGAACAATATCAAAATATACTACATAGGGCATGGCTAGACTAGACTATAGAATAGACTACAGGCTGGTCTTTTGACTACTATTTATTAAAAGTTTAGACTAGGTTATAGGCAAGACTATAAACTTAACTATAGATCATAGACTAGACTAGATCATAGACTAGGCTATAAACTAGACAATAGACTATAGGCTATGAACTGGACTATAGGCTAAACTATAGACTAGACTATAGACTAGACTATAGACTAGACTATAGACTAGACTATAGACTAGACTATAGACTAGACTATAGACTAGACTAGACTATAGACTAGACTAGACTAGACTATAGACTAGACTATAGACTAGACTATAGACTAGACTATAGACTAGACTATAGACTAAACTATAGACTAAACTATAGACTAGACTATAGAGTAGACTATAGACCAGACTATAGACTGGACTATAGACTAGACTATAGACTAGACTGTAGACTAGACTATAGATTAGACTATAGACTAGACTATAGACTAGACTATAGACTAGACTATAGACTAGACTATAGACTAGACTATAGACTAGACTATAGACTAGACTATAGATTAGACTATAGACTAGACTATAGACTAGACTATAGACTAGACTAGAGACTAGACTATAGACTAGACTATAGACTAGACTATAGACTAGACTATAGACTAGAATATAGACTAGACTATAGACTAGACTATAGACTAGACTATAGACTAGACTATAGATTAGACTATAGACTAGACTATAGACTAGACTATAGACTAGACTATAGATTAGACTATAGACTATAGACTAGACTATAGACTAGTCTATAGTCTAGACTATAGACTATACTATAGACTAGACTATAGACTATACTATAGACTATACTATAGACTAGACTATAGACTAGACTATAGACTAGACTATAGACTAGACTATAGACTAGACTATAGACTAGACTATAGATTAGACTATAGACTATAGACTAGACTATAGACTAGACTATAGATTAGACTATAGACTAGACTATAGACTAGACTATAGACTAGACTAGAGACTAGACTATAGACTAGACTATAGACTAGACTATAGACTAGACTATAGACTAGACTATAGACTAGAATATAGACTAGACTATAGACTAGACTATAGACTAGACTATAGACTAGTCTATAGTCTAGACTATAGACTATACTATAGACTAGACTATAGACTATACTATAGACTATACTATAGACTATGCTATAGACTAGACTATAGACTATACTATAGACTAGACTATAGACTAGACTAGACTAGACTATAGACTAGACTATGGACTAGACTATAGACTAGACTAGACTAGACTATAGACTAGACTAGACTATAGACTAGACTATAGACTAGACTAGACTATAGACTAGACTATAGACTACACTATAGACTAGACTATAGACTAGACTATAGACTAGACCATAGACTAGACTATAGACTAGAATATATGCTAGACTACAGACTAGGTTATGACCTAGACTATAGACTAGGCTATAGACTAGCCTATAGAAGGGATTAGAGGCTAGACTACAGACTAGACTAGAATATAGGCTTGACTACATATAGACTAGACTATAGACTAGGCTATGAACTAGACTAGGTTATGAACTAGACTATAGACTAGGCTATAGACTAGACTATAGACTAGGCTATAGACTAGACTATAGACTAGGCTATAGACTAGACTATAGACTAGGCTATAGACTAGAATACAGACTAGGCTTTAGACTAGCCTATAGACTGGATTACAGGCTAGACTACAGACTAGACTATGGCTAGACTATATACTCAACTATAAACTATACTGTGGATTTTGGATTCCCTTAAAAAGTGACCTAGCCCTGATTTTAAACTTTGTGATATTTCGAACATCTGCTTCGCCAAATAAAGCGTTTTCGGAAACTCCATATTTCTTGGAGAACAACTTTAGACAGCCCATCACCGTAAACTCCTAGCGCTAAAGATAAATTATTATCAACTTCTGCCTGATTTAAAAATTATTACATGCTTTTCTCCCACATATATTTTGAATGCAAATATTGAATTAAAAAAATTTTATTCCCATTTTAATAAACATATAATTAAAGTAACTTAAAATTAATCATTACTTTATTATAGCAGCTTCTTCCAGTCCAATTAACAGATTCTTACTAGACATTGAAGAATTTCCAATAAGACTTATAATGAAATTAATATTACATTTGCCTCAAAGTATGCAATATATCTATATTTCAATTTATTTACAAATTTAAGTAAACAATATTAAAAAATATTTTATATTTTCAAAAGATGGCGGCACTAGTTATATGAAATATATCATGATTCAGCAAACCAGCATGGAAGGAATGTAGTCAATATATATAGTCGAAGGACCATATTCAATTTAACAACTCAAGCTTTCAACAGATGAAAAAACTGTTTATTTCACTAGTTAGTGAAGATTTTTTCTTCTATAATACTATTCTAGAGTCATATTTTAAACAGCAGTATGTATTACTTTTAAGTACTCTTATAATGACTTACATATAATTAGATACATACATGAGTGACTCAGACTCACAGAAAGAAAATCGTTATCATTGCCTATTTTTCTTTATTGTCTTTAAAATTAAATTAAAACACATTTAAATGTTTAAACAAATATTTAAAATTTTTATTTAGTTTTTTTTTTACATCACGGGACAACTTTTCACATATTAGAATATATTAAGCAAATAAAATCAAAATCTAAAATAAATCTTATAAAAAAAAGCTAAATCAATTTAATAAAATTTTCCTGTTTTTGGCAAAATGAAACAAGTAGTTGTAATAAAATTCCACAAGAATTTATTTAATTAATTTAATTAAAGTAAATTTTTATATAAATGTTGTTAAAACAACAGTTGCACATGAGAAAATGTATCAAAAAGTAAGAAGGGAAAAAAATATATTTTATTACAATTAAAACGAGATTCTTTGTTACTTTTGAATTTTTTAGAATTACAATTAAAAAGAGAAGTGCAAATTATATAAAATTTATTTTTAACTTCTCTAAAAGTCTAAGATTTCAAGAGTTTTTGAAATAAAAATCTAATAGTTAAATATGTATGTATAAAAAAATTTTAAATACATAGATAGATACATAAAATAAGTATGTATTGTATTTATATATATAGATACTACTATAAACTAAATCGTAAAGCCTTGAATGAGAGATAGTTAGGGAGCGAGAGAGATAGAGAGTGTGGGGAGTGTTTGTAGCGAAAAATTGTATAATGAATAAATTGTTTTTTTTTTTGTTTTAGAAAATATTTAAAATTAAACAATAAGAATAATTGCACTATATGGCAAATTCGCCATGATCAGGTTCCAAATCACAAGGACGTCTAAATTCTTGACGGCGTTCATGTATCCATTTATTGCTTACTGTTGAAGAGAGAAATATAGAAAGAAATATTTTATTAATAAAAAATATATATAAAAGTTGTTAATAAGAAATTTTAAGATATTAAAGGTCCTCAAATTAACGTTTCCATCTACTTTTTTCAGCGACATTTGGGACGCGCAAACTTGAAATTGTGGATTTGATGAACTTGTCACTTGTCCACTATTAAAAAAAACTTAACTTACCCCATTTAGAGCCAGTTAATACCGGACAAGCAGCATGTCTTGTTCTGTAATCACCCTCTCCCGATTTATGTAAATTATACCAGAAAGCCGCTGTTCCTTTTTTGGGCCATAGAGCAGTATTAATGGCTGTGAAAACGGTGGCACCACCTTGTTCAACATCACTCATCTTAAAGAAAATGAAAACCAAATTGTCACAAATTTGAAATTAAAAACTCCTATTGACAAAACTTACATAGAACAAAACTGTGGCTATACGATTGCCGGAATTTAGACCTTGGAAAGCACGCACTTCTTCACGCTAAAATATAGAAAACAACATGTTTTATGTAATTACTTAAATAGACTCAAATACATAAATTAATTGAAAACAATTTATTATGAAATACAAAAATCTTTTATAAAAGATATAACAAAAATTTTTTAAAACCTTTTCATTTCAGTCTCTAAGGAAATGATAAAAATGTTTTTTATTATAAAATAAAGTGGTCAGTTAAAATGTTTTACTTTTACTAATTAGAAAAAAATGGCAGTAATGTTTTAATATTAAAAGTACTTATGTAGTTAGTAACTGTAAAATTTTATAAAATTCTATACGTAATACATTATGGGTTAGAAAGTCTCATTGCTAATTTGTTTTGCTGCACATGCATCCCCTACATTTTGTGGCTATAATATTAAACTGTTTATCTATCATATATTTGGGGGTTTCAAATGATTATGGTTTCTGGTGGCCATATTTTTCGGACATTCTCTCAAGTTAAAACCTCTAAGAAAGAAATCGATACCCATATCAGTGGGGCTTATGGCGAATACAAACTAAAAACTACCTCAGTCCAAAAACATCTCTTTTTACGAGGCCTACCAGTTTTTGGTTTGTCGGGGGGAGTTTGCCCTCTCAAAGCAGAATGAATCTTCCGTCAACACCAATTCTTTCTTGAGGTTATTTAGGACCCAGTCCTACAAATTTACTAATGTCAGTGACCCTATTTAACGGTAAATTCAGAAATATTTTTCCATATGAATTTCGAGAATGCTCCACTCGAGAGCGAATAGTCTACCCTATTTCCTCGGCGGCAATTTTAGGTCACGGCAATTCAAATGTTATTGAAACCGGTTTAGTTTGGTGGCGACTCATGGTCAGATTATTCTGTGACAATAACAGTCGGAAGAAATTTAGGCGAAGAAATCTAATTAATACCCATAAAAGATCCTTTAATACAAGTTGCAAAAAATGCGATTTAACCTCAGAAGCCAAAAATCGGTAAGGTACCATATTTTAGGGAACTGCTAAATCTTACATTGCAATATGTCCTATACTTTATTTTTCGTTTTCGGGTATCCAAGCCGCACTCCTGGCCGCCAACAAAATAATTAAAAGCAACACCTCGGGATGAAGAATTTTGATAACTAAGTCGGACAAAGCCTTTATTACCAGTTCACGAAATTCTTCTCACATCTAAATACGCGCCTAAACACAACTTTAGGAGGAGATGTAAGTGCACTTAAAACAAAGTCTAAGCCTATAAAGTTCCCAAAGGCAGGATCTTAAGCGAAGAGACCAAAAGTCTCACTGATAGCCCATGATTTTTCCTCAAAAATCCAGGAAACCTCTCTTAGTTAGATGATGCTGGATTGCCTCGCATCCACTAACACTGGATGCTCCAAAAATGCAGCCATGTTCCTCGGTGCTTTAAGTTTTAACCCCTGTTTAGGGAGTTGCAAATGGTATATCTTATCAGTTGTGATCAATTGTACTACGAACTAGTTATCGGTTACATAGACTAGACTGTTCTCCGGTAGGAAAAGAATTATAAGTAAGACTTCGGGATCCCACGTTCTGCTCTGTGCATAATCGGGGTAGAATAATTCTTCGAGGAATATGACACGACCGAAAACAGCCTTTCTAAGTCTGAGCACCAGAGGAGGTGGCAGAATCTATCTTCTCTGATGATTTGTCAACTTTTATCCCAGTAAAAAGATGGCAAGCCTTTATTGGCTGACCACGAAATAGGTCTAAACGCAACCTTTGGAGAATGAGTGTTAGGTGCATTCACAACCCGAGGCTAAACACAAAGCAGGATCTTTGCTGAGGTGATCCAAAGCCGTACGTGTTGTCATCGATTGAAGCGGAATATCTCATGAGTTTTCAAGAAAAATCCATTAGACTTCTTTACATACGACTTTGAAAAGGACATCAGCATTTACCTTCAGATTTACATCTACAGATCTTTTTGTAGTTCCAAGAGAAAGCCCCTACGAACCATACAACGAATTGAACCGAACCCCAAAACTGTACGGTCTAAAACAATAGAACTCTTGCAGAGTTTTCAGAAGTCGTATATATTTATCAATTAATCAAGCCGGAATTCTGGCGGATTTAAAAAGGTAATAACTCTATCACGCTACCGAGAGAAGATCAAAATGTTGTTGTTCAACCGTTAAAAACTTAAAACTAAACATAATTGTAATGTTAAAGAGGATATTTCATTTCCCACTTACCCTTGCAAAATCGAAATGAGGTTCATAATGACCACCAATACCATAATTGACAACCTGTAACTCTTCGGCCGTAATCATATCGAGACCAGTCATATCTTCAGTTCTCTGAACGATATTCTTAATAATAGGATGTTCTTCAGTCTTTAGCCAAGCCGATTTACTAATACGATAATTTGCCGTTTCCAATTCACCAGTTACAGCATTCTGTACGGTAGCTCTGCGGAATCTGGGTCTGGCCATCTTCTTAATAATCTCAATTTCATTATCAAAAATCACTTCATGATAGACCACTATATAGGGATCTTTGGAGGCTTCTTCCAATTTTAGAGGACCAATTTTCAAGAATGGCACATTATTATCTACATAACGGCACTTAAGAACTCTTAATTGAGCTGGAGTAGGTTTCAGTTTACCCTGGCACAATAATTCATAGGCCTTGCGTTCGGTTTGATCGAACATGGTGTAGGGTTCAGCTTTAGAAATGGGCTGTAAATGGTGATATATAAAGAATATGAATATGATTATAAATAAACCAGTTTGTTTAATTTCACTTCATACTCACCAAATCGGATTTAGGTGTTTCATCTGTACCATCATCACCTTTAACCTTCTTTTTTACCGACAATTCTTTCAATTCTTTTTCATAGTAAACTTTATTACCTGAGGCACGTTCATGATTTGGTATCAGTTGCAACAATTCATTTGTCATAGAGAGGGCACTCTCAACATTGCCTTTATTTGCACAAACATGGACGAGGTGGTAAAAAAATAAAGAAAGAAAAAAAAAAAAACAAATGGACATCAACATGAAATACGGGTTAAAATAAATAAAATGTTTTTTTTTTATAAATAAATATAGAGCAAGTCTGTTATAAATGCAAGCTTTGATGCACAATGTTAGTATGTTTACAAAAGGGGGTGGTTGTGTGGTAAATGGGTTGGTTTAATGTATAGAGTGTTGTAGGGAGATGTGTTGAATGTTGCTATTGCTGTGCTTAGTGCAGGTGGAGATTGTATGATGTAATTAATTTTATTCTCTGTTGTAAATATTTATAATGAAAGTGATAAATTGCAAAAAGTAAAACGACACCTACTACTACTACCATCATCATACTAGATTTATTCTATAACATTTTACACCATTTCCCATTGTATTTCAGAAACGTCGAATTATATTTTAACTGAAATATAATTCGAAATTTTTGAAATAGAATTTATTTTTTTAACTCCTTAGCGAATATGTAAAATCTAAATGAATAATTTAGCAATAATGTTGTAAATGGTGTAAATTTGGACTCTATAGTAAATATAGTTGCTGTTTTTGTGGTTGTTTCATTTCTTGTTGCTGTTGCTTCATTTTGCATGCAATTAGTATGTTGCAAATATGAAACTGTCTTTTGTGTGGCACAGACTGCCTGTTTGTGTTGATAAATTTTGGACCCTGATGATCAAATGCGACACTGACGTTAATGAAAATCGTTTATTTTTTGTTTTCTTAACAAATTGTAAAATGCTTTAAAAAATTCAATAAAATTTCAAACAAATTGAAAGAATTAAAGGATAATAACTTACTTCTGCTCAAAAATCAAGCCAAACTATACAAAGCTATCTCTCCTATTGAATTTGTTCCATGTACAAGTTAGTATTGTAAGAAAATTTTTAGTTGAAAAGTTCCTTATAAACGATGGGGTATCATGAGCGCTCCTACGAAGTGTCATTAGATAAAATGCAAAACAAGATCATACATTCCGAAATTTTCGTGTTTTTCGAATTAAAAACAATTTTTTGGAAATTGAAAATATAGTAATTAAATAATTACTTAATAATGTAGAGAGTTTGGACACAGTTACCCAGGAAAAACTTACATTGAAAAGTAGTGAGTTAAAAAGCTAATAAAACCTCTTTTCACTACTTCTTCATTAGCATTTTAAGTCATTATTTTAACACGGTGATGTCATTGGAGGCAAGTACTTCTACGCACGCTTATAATATGAAGTTAAAGAAGTACTTGCAATTTCTCTTACAAAACAGTTGTTGAGTAAGTTGTTTTGTTTTTTAATAATAAAAAGAGCCAGCTAGAATACGAACCAGGGACTTCGATTTTTTAGTCAAATGTTCTACACACTGCACCACTGCTTAGCTATTTTATTGCGCATCAAATAATGGTTTTCACAATCAAAATTAATTTTGTTTTATTTTTTGTAAAACACAATTCTTAAAACGCAATTAAATAAAATGTGCAAACAAAATGACAAAGCCGAAAATAAAGTACTTCTATATCAGATTATAAGAAAGTCATTACTAGAGTACTTCTAAGTAATGCAGACGTAGTAGTAGTAGTCATTGAAAAGTAAGTGGTTATGGAAGTACAACCCATTACCGAGTTTTTGCTGAGTAAATACTAAAAACTTGTTCTATTTAAAAACTTCAATATTTAAATATTGCGCGTTTTAGAAACGTTTTACAGTGTATTATGGACCGACCCATCCTTACAAAATTTGGTTTGTTTTTTCAGGGGACACTATATGGGTGGGTAGGGTCAATTCTGAATCCATCCTTATTAAATTTGGTACAGATATTTTTGTTCCTATAAACTTGTTTATGACGAATTTCACCACTATGCTGGTATTATTAAGCATGTTATGATCGTTAAAGTCATTTCCTGAAGAGGTCAACAATGAACTGATTCTTAAAAAATTTTGGAAAGAGATTTTCGTTCCTATAATACTTGTTTGTGTCGAATTGCGTCGCTATACTAATATGTATTATTAAATCAGTTATGAACGTTAAAGTTATTTTCCAAAGTAGACATTTTAAAAGGGGATTGGTCAATTATGTTTATGTTTGTGTTGAATTTGGTCATAATACTGCTAATATTAAGACAGTTATGAAAGTTAAAATCAAATTTGGAAGATAGATTTTTGTTCTTATAAAAGTTGTATGTTTTGAATTTCGCCGCTATATTGCTATTGTTAAGTCAATTATGATCGTTAGTCATTTTCTGAAAAGGACCTAATATTGGGGTTGGTAAAATATTTATCTCGATTGCCGCCAAATTAATATATTACTTTATACTGTATTAGCTGCGTCATCAATTTTCGTGATTTTTACATTTCCTGATATGTTTCCAAATGCCTTTTAAATGATAACACCGCTCTACTCTAATAAACTTCTATATTTTTATATAACGAGTGTTTAAAAAATGCATTCGAATGACCCATAAAAATTCAAAAAGTATTTGTAGTCAAAAATCTATAAGAAAGGTTCCTTGCAGAATGTCCTGTAGATAATTAAACCAAATTTATGTTTTTGAAGTGAATTCATAAAGTATTTGTAAAGTTTTAATAAACAACAATTTTGTGGCTCTTTTAAAACATATGTTTTGTAAACTGTAAATTTTGGCTCTTCCGACTCAAAAGTTTGCCGACCCCTGGACTAGACTATAGACTAGACTATAGACTAGACTATAGACTAGACTATAGACTAGACTATAGACTAGACTATAGACTAGACTATAGACTAGACTATAGACTCGACTATAGACTAGACTATAGACTAGACTATAGACTAGACTATAGACTAGACTATAGACTAGACTATAGACTAGACTACAGCTAATAACTACCAGAACTGCAGGGTTACAATTAAATCTGTTCGAAAGTTCTTCTATATGTATGTATCTACTCCTACACATAAAGTTGGTTATACATAAACAAATGTGCTCTTTAGCAATGACCTATTTTTGGTACTTGAAATGAAATATATAGATACACAGAATAATCCTTTTTTCTGTTGCAAGTAAAGTATTACAGCACCCAAGGAGAGATGTTAAACAGAAGATAATAAAAAATATAAATCAAAATAGTTAGATATAAAACGAATCAGATAGTAGGTTACAATAGTTATAATCTAGTAAACTGTAAACACCGACTGAATTACCATCGATCGTGCAAGACAAAGAGGGAAGTAGATAGCGTGCTACGCACCTAATATTATGAGAGCAGATATTCGAAATAGCTTTTATGAC